CGCGCAGATCGGCGGGGCCAGGGTTCAAAACAATAATGGGTTTGCAGCATTTCTCGTATTCGGTGGCGCCCCTCAAGCAGATCGGCAGGGCCAGGGCCCAAAAGCAAGGGAGTTGCCGCGCTCCTAAAATTCGGTGGCACCCCGCGCGCAGATCGGCAGGGTCAGGGCCCAAAAGCACAACGGCGATATGCCGCATTTCTAAAATTCGGCAGCGCCCCTCGCTCAGATCCGCAGGGTCAGGGTCAACAAATATAAAGGATTTGCTACGTTTCTGAAATTCGGTGGCGCCCCTCACGCAGATCGGCAAGGTCAGGGTCCAAAAACAAAAAGGATTTGCCACATTTTTGCAATTCGGTGGCAGCCGTGACGCAGATCCGCAGGGTCAGGGTCGAAGAACAAACAGGCCCCGACGCTGCTTCGCGGCGGCGCCCAGACCTCGCGACGCAGCTTGTGCGTCTCCCACTATCCGAGACAGGGGGCCGGCGGCGTTGGGCGAAGCCGTTGCGGGTAATCGATGCGGGGCTGTCCTTCGCTACTCACGCGCGCGCGAGCGACGCTAGCCCTCGCCGCGCGCCCCCGATCTTCTGCGGGCGCCTCGACTTGAACATTAAACCAACGTCAATGTCCCAGTCGCCCGCGATGCGCCGCGGAAGTTGTAGGCGCCGAGCAGAGGCTCCCAGCCTCGCCATGCGCGCGACGTTGTCCCCGCCGAAGCCAACGCTGCAACGCCCGCAGTTGATGATGAGGGTGAAAGCGAAGCCCCGCCGGTGCATGGCGACCGCCATGAAGCCGTCGAAGTCAACGCCACCAGGACAACAGAAACTAGGTAGATCTCGAGGTTTGTCAGCAAACCTATGAACGTGCCGATAGTTACGTGCAAGAAAAAGCACGCCTCCTTCACGCGCTCGAACTTGACCTGCTGAAGTTGTGGCCCTGCCTGTCGGACGTGCCCCGTTGTCCACAAAGCGCCAGTGCAACTGCTGTGCCTTGCGCGCCCACACGTCTCGAGTGGTGCCCTTCGCCGTGGCGCGCGTCTCGACTAACCCCATGAACTGACATCGAGCCAGGTGCTCTTTGCTCAACATATACTTCCAGGGCGAGTTGCCCAGCGCCGTGATGTTAGCGAAGAACATGCGGCACTCGTCGTCGTCGCCGCCCTCCTGAGCCGCGGCGCCGCCAGGCCCCTACGCCTGAGCCGGCGCCGCCGGGTGGTTGCTCGCGAACGCCGAGGGCGTCGGTGGACCCTCGACGCGAGGCGCGCCTCAGGGGCAGCGCCCGCAGCGGCACCAGTCGACGACGCGCCCACGGCCTGGCTGGCAGCTGCCTCAGCCGCCTGCCTGGCCTGCTTGATGCGCCCCGTCTCTTTCAGAACCTCTGGGTCCGAGGGCGTGGGCGACGGCACGGCCGACGCAGCCTGCGCCTGCGACGCCGCGACGGGCTTCTCCGCTGCCGCTGGAGCCGACGCCGCCTGGGCCTCGGCATCGGGAGCTCCTGTCCCCTTGCCCTGGGCCGCCTAGCCCTCGGCACCATCCGCAGCCGTCTTGCGCTTCTTGGCCGTGCGCTCCTCGATCTGCTTCTTGAGTTCGCTGACGCGCTGGCTCCATTGCGCGATGTCGGACGACTTGGCTGCCAACGTCTCGCGTGTAGCCTTCAGATCCTTCTCAAACTGCCTCAACGCAGTGCGCTCGTGCTCCTCGCGCTCCACGCTGTCCAGGGACTCGAAGAAAACCCCATCCCAGGTGAACCCAATCTTCGCGGGGTACTGGGACTCAGCACTGGCGCCGGCCTGAGTGGTGATGCCCACCTCCTTGGCCAGCGCCGCCGCGGCTGCCTTTGTGGTGAGCTCCGCCACCGCCAGCTGCCGCAAGGTCTCCTCTTCCTTGGTCACCCGCTCGGGGTTCTCGCGACAACGGCGAATCTGAGCGGACGCTTGATCGAACTTGAGCTTCGCATCCTTCCAAGCGCCTTCGGCGCGGCGGACCGCCTCGGCAGGCGGCAGCCCCGTCACAGGAGCTGGCGACGGCGTGGCGACCACGCGCTGCGCCTGCTCCTGAAGGTTCTTCCGCACCTCAGTGTCGGATGAGAGCTTGATCGCCTGGGCCAACAGGTCCTCGACTAGCTGCGGTGCCGCCAAGGCCCCCTCAAGAGCCGCTGGAGAACTCTTGTCTGGCTTGCTCTTGTGCACTCGTACCTTGCTCGAGCATTTCCTGCACTTGCAATCGGCTTGGGTGAGCACATCGTTGTAATCGTGCGTACCGCACTTCTTGCACGTGCTCCAGAGCCAACCAGGAGACATGACTGTGAACTTCTCTTGGTCAACAGGAAATCCTACCACAGGAAGTCCTAACAGCAAGGGTATGGCGCCTGTTGTTCCTCAAGCACTGCGGGAAAATGAGAAGCCTCGGACCGAGTCCGCTGACAAAATGAAAGCGCTCGGGCCGATATGTGCTTGAGCAGGAGGAGGAGAAGGAGGAGGAGGGGCAGAAGGAGGAGGAGGGGGAGGAGGAGGAGGGGGGGAAGAGGAGGGGGAGGAGGAGGAGGAGGAGGAGGAGGAGGAGGAGGAGGAAAAGGAAAAGGAGGAGGAGGAGCAGGAGGAGGAGAAGGAAAAGAGCGACGAGAAGCCCCCAGAGGGGCACCGGTTCCAGGGGGGGAAGCATCAGGCTGGAATCGGCGACGCATCGCCTATAGATCGGCGATGGTGCCCCGATAGCAAATTCGCACGTTCCTGGGCGTGTGGCCAGGTTATGGGGCCCTCCCCTGGGAGTCGACGAGTCCTCCCTGGAGCCTATCCCCCCCTGACGTTGCTCCTGACCGCTGCCCCCGCGGTGCTCGCGCCCAGCGTGCTGCTCGCCGCCGCCGCTCGCTCCAGTGCCTACGGGCGCTGCCCCCCCCACCCACCCCCAGGGCGCTGCTGGGCTCAAGGGCTGTCAGGCGCTGCCCGCCACCAGCGGAAGCCTCGAGCCAACAGCGCGGTCTCGAGCCAACCGCCCAGCCAGTGAGCTGCGGCGGGGCTCAGCTGGTGCCAGGAGGAGGAGGAGGAGGAGGAGGAGGAGGAGGAGGAGGAGGAGGAGGAGGAGGAGGAGGAGGGACAGGAGGGACAGGAGGGACAGGAGGAGGAGGAGGAGGAGGAGGAGGAGGAGGAGGAGGAGGAGGAGGAGGACAAGGAGGAGGAGGACGAGGAGAAAGAGGACCGCCCAGCCAATGAGCTGCGGCGGGGCCCAGCTGGTGCCGGCCACCGCCGCTGCCGCGGCGGCGCCCATGTTGCTCGAGGGCGCCTGCTGGCGAAGAGGCGCTGCTCGCGGGCGAAAAACCCATGGCGTGTCCGCGGCCTCGCGGGCCGGACCGTCGGGCCCTTGGGCCGCGGCCTCGCGGATGCGGAGCGTTTTTTCTTCGTGGGTGCCCCCTGCGCGGAACGTCTCCGTGCGACCCGCGCATCCGCGCCCCGGGATCCAGACCGCGAGGGCGTGGATATGGATACGTTCGCCGCTCGTGAGCTGAGGGGCACGGGCGCGCTGGTGTTGCTGGTCCAGCACTGCCCCTCGGGCCTCAGGGGGGGGTGCGAGCTGCACCACGCGCGAGGGCTGCTCCAGGCCATCGGCCCGATCCTCGCCGTCTGGCGGAGCCACCACCACTGTCAGCTTGCTCTAGATAGCGATGCGGAAGCGATAGTGGTTCTCACTGAAGCAGAACTGCACCCCATTCACAGTGGACTTATCGTATTTCTTGTTGGACGGGCTCACAGTACGAAGAAACCCAAGCTCCACATCTCGCTGACATGGCACAGTACGTTGCAAACCAGTGCGCTCGCTCGACGAATCCGGAGAAGTCTGGGGAATCGATGGAAAAGAAACAAGCTTTCCACCCCCCTCGTGCGGAAAGCCAGCCCGCCTGATATTCCAAATCAGAAGGCACTTGCCGTCGCTCGGACGTCCATTTCCCGTGCGTTGTTCGGTGTCGTGCGTGTTTTTTTTGTTGCTCGATGGTCCAGGATGGTCCTCGATGGTTCTCGCCGAGAAAACAAAGCACACGACCGAACGATGCCAGGAGAAGGTCAGGATGCTTACATGTTACGGCCAGGAACTTGTTCTCAGCGCTTCGCGGCAGCGGCCCAAGCGACATGCTGTGCCCTGCAAGCGGATGGCGTGTCGCTCCGCTTCGCGGGGCGCAAGGCTGAGAAAAGCTCGAGACGTTGACGCTTGGGGACTGGGACGTGAATGGCGTGTCGCGCCAAAGCGTGGTGGGCCAGAATCGGCGGCGCGACACGCTGAGCCAAAGTTCCTGGCCGCACTCGTTCGCGTGCGCGGCGGGAGCTGCACCGAAGCTCTCAAGGGGAGAGTTGGATCGCATGCGGCTCCAAGTCCCCAGTCCGTTTCGGCTCACCCCTCACCTTTTGTGGCCCAATTGGGAGACCCACCTTAGGCCCCAGTGGCACAGCTTTTGTGTGCCCCCGGGCCTAATTCGGGACACTCCTCACAGTCGTGGCCTCGAAGGGAGCTCCACCGAATGCCCCAGTGGCAGGGCCCGCATGCGCCCCCAGGCCCATTCTGCACACCTCTCACACGTTTCGTGGCCCAGAGAGCTCCACTGAAGGCGATACAACAGGGCGGTACTCACAACTGCATAAGGTTAGGTCCTTCGCCACGATGATTTTTGCCGAGCGTCACTCCCCCTGCGGAGGGAAGTAGCCATCCCAACCCGTCGGGAAGAGACACTGCTGTGAACGAGGGACACGGGCAACCCGACTTTTTCCCTCGGACTCTGCGGAGAGCGAGTGAACGGGGCCACCATCATCGAAACGCGCTTCCATGATGGCACAGCTTCCGCTCTCTTCGCCCGGCCTGGACCACGCAGCCTTTGGGCACCAGGACGCCCCTGCTGCACCTCCCACCGCCGAGCGCAGCTCCGCGACGGGTGAGCCTCCGAGGCAAGAGCGCGCCCGCGCGCTCTCCGCCGGCACCCTGCGCAGGGCGCGGCCGCCGCAACTCGGCGCCGCGCTGCTCCTACGGCCGCGCGAGGAAGCTGCCGCTCCGCCGGGAGCCGCGGCGGAAGAGCTGCGGCAGCCCGGGGGAGCCGTCCCCGTGGAGCGAGCCGGCGCCCGCGCACGCCCCGTCGTCCACCACGGTGGCGAAGCTCCTGTCCCACGCCGAGCCGTCGTCCCTGTAGGGCTCGTCGGCCGAGGGTGCCGCCCGCTCCGCGCTGTTGAACCCCGAGTCGAAGTCCCTCTCCTGAGGCGGCGGCGGGGCGACCTCCTCGTCCTCCACCTCCTCCTCCTCCTCCGCCTCCTCCTCCTCCTCCCCCTCCTCCTCCTCCTCCTCCTCCTCCATTCCTGTTCCTTATATCAATAACTTCTCCCTGCCACATCTCGAGACGTGTCGTGAGGGCGAGCCGGGCTGAGACCTCTTCCTCAATTCTGATTCTGGAACCCACAAATTGGAATAGCTTCACGGACGGGCGGGCAGATCCTTTCCAACATGTGGCCTCCCGCCGTAGCGCCGCGCACATTCGTCATACAACTGTTGCCAGAGGTTCACGGGCGGAGGGCGGTTTCTTTTCAACATGTGACCTCCCGCCGCAGCGCCGCGAACATCCGTCCCGAATTCTACGAGAGTTTAACGGATAGGGGGCGTGCCGTTTTCAAAATGTGCCTCTCGCCCCAGCGCCGCGCACTCTCGTCGCAAAGTTCGCAACAGCTTCACGGATGGAGGGCGGGCCGTTCTAAGAATGTGGTTCTCGCCTTGGCGCTGCGCGCATTCACCTGAAACAAATGCAAGAGCATCACCTCAGGACCCGGCCCCCATGGCGAAGGATGGTCCAAATCTGGAGGAGCAGACAACTGCAGGAACGTTTACTCTCGGTGGTCCGCGCGGACCTCCGAAAATTTGTGTTCATGTTGTTTTTGCTCACCTCAGGACCCTGCTCTTTCGTGGCGGCGATCTCTCTGGATCGGCTCATCTTCAGCAACAGGCCTGCCTGATCTCCTTCGGCCGGTACGGCGCCCTCAGAGCCCGGTCGCGGAAGGGCTCCCAGTCGAAGCCCCGATACCACCGGTGGCGCTGCAGGTCCTCCAGGCCGGCGGGCAGCACGGGCATCCTCTGGGAGGGCTCCAGGCACAAGAGCGCCCTGATCAAGTCCCCAGGGTCGCCCTGGCAGGGCTCGGGGAAGTTCGTGCCCTCCACGCCGGCGACGACCTTCCTCCAGATCTTCAGCTCGCTGACGGCCTCGAACGGGGTCGTGCCGCAGAGGAGCTCGTAGATCAGCACCCCGAGGGACCACCAGTCGGCAGAGTGCGTGTAACCAGTGCCCCGGATGACCTCTTCGGAGCAGGGCGAATTGAGATAACGGCGGCTCAAAATCGATCCCCGGGCCTCTTCCACTGTCCACATGCGTAAACTGTCCGAGCTCTGTCCAGCCGCGGCGACGGGGGGGGTCAACCATCGTTGTCTCAACTTGTCCTCCTCTGACCTCTGGCGCCAGGTACGTCGGCGTGCCGCAGAACGTCTGGGCCGTGCCGCTGGTGACCTTGGCGAGGCCCAGGTCGGCGAGTTTGGGCCGCCCCTCCGAGTCCAGCAACACGTTCTCGGGCTTCAAATCGCGGTGGATGATGTGGAGGTCGTGCAGGTGCTCGAAGGCAAGCACCACCCCCGCGGCGTAGAACTTTGCGTGCTTCTCGCTGCCGTAGAAGCCCCTGCTGAGGGGAGCAACGCAGCAGGCATGTGTCATTGATTTTGGTATACTACGAACGTGCTGGACAATATGTTACTCCATTTATCTACCGGGGCATCCATCAACACTCATTGAGAGAACCAACGGAAACAGGTAGCATTCACAAGGTCCGCCGCGCGCTGTTTGGTTTAGAAGAGCATATGGTCTGACAATCGCTCTCACTATCGATACGATACCACTACCAGTCCAACTATGGATACGAAACATCAAAAGGATCGGGGCAGCCAGCGAAACTAGTTGGCACGAGTTTGCCCGCGCGCGCTGTCCCTTAGAGGAACATTCGATTTCACGATGACCTCTCACTCAATTCCAGTATCGATCTCACATTCGATGTCACTACGAGACACCAAATGATCGGGGCAACCAGCTGAACCATGTGGTATTCATTTGCTCGCGCGCTCTTTCCCTTCGAAGAACATCCGGTACCACAGGATCGGGGCAACCAATGAAACCAGGTGGCATGTCTTTACCCGCACGCCCTTCCGTTAAGAAACACATTCGATATCACGATCGATATCATATTCGATTGCACTATCGATCTCACTATCGATGTCACTACGAGACACCAAAGGATCGGGGCAACCAACGGAACCAGGTAGCACTTATTTGCCCGCGCGCTCTTTCCATCAGAGGAACATTCGATCTCACCATCGATCCCACGACCCATCTCACGATCGATCTCACTATCCATCGATCTCACTATCGATCTCACGATCGTTTGATCTCACCATCGATCCCACGACCCATCTCACGATCGATCTCACTATCCATCGATCTCACTATCGATCTCACGATCGTTTGATCTCACGATCGATCCCACTATCGCTTTCCGTCAGTCAATCGATCCCACAATCGATCTCACGATCGATTTATCTATTGATCTCACTTTCTATCTATCGATCCATCTACCGATCCAACGATCGATCTCACTCGATCTCACTATCGGTCTCGCACGCCATCTCACTACGAGACACCAAAGACACCACTGGACACCACCAGGTACCACGGTGGGACACCCGGGACACCCGCGCCCCAGCGAGGGAAAGCGAGCCAAAGCCGAGCCAGGGCAAGCAAGGCGAAGGAAGCCGAAGCCGAGCGACGACTGGCGGGACAGTCCCCCCCTGGCCAGCCTGCGCAGCTTCGCATAGCCCGCACGCACGACACGAACACGAAAGCGAAACCGATTTCCCGGTGGGGGGCTCTCCGTTTCACTGTGATCTCACCCCCAACCTCCGACTCCACGTCCAGCTCGCTGGCAACGGTCTGGCGGCCTCGACGGCGACGACGACGAACCCGGATTGTGTTTTTCATCGTCCACTTCCCAATGGTCCGCTGCGACCCCTCCCAGATTGTTTCTGAACCGTTGGGCCGCACTGCCACAAGAAATTCTGCCATCGAAGGAATATTTGGGCGCGTTCTTCGTCGATCTTTGAGGGTCTTAGAGAGTGCCCCGGGGCCTCCGTGGGGGCCTGGGACCGTCGGGGGAGAGGGAATTTCCGTGGGGCACCTGCCGGCAAGCAGATTTCCGACTTGGTGCGCCTAGCTGCTAGGGGGGGGACTGGCTCATATTGGGGGACACCGTCGACCTGGAATCGGCGATACACCGCCGCTTGACCGGCGAGAGGCCCCCCCGATAGCAAGCCCGCAAACTCCTGGGCGGGGTGGGCTATCCGGCCCCCATCGGGCCATTGGGGGTCGCTGCAACCCCCCCTGGGCTTATCCCCTCTGACAGCGTTGCCCCTTGCCTGCGGTTGTAGACCGTGTGCAGCTCCCCCCCGGCGGCGAACTCCAGGAGCAGGTAGAGGGCGTTCGGCGTGCTGTACGCCTCAAAGAGCCGCACTAGGAACGGCGAGCTCGTCATGAGCATCAAATTCTTCTCATTGATGATGCTCTGCTCCGCGCCCAGCCTGCGTATGTGGCTCTTGCTCAGGATCTTCATCGCGAACCTCCTGCCGTCCCTGTGCTGCCAGAGCTCCACATTCCCGAACTGCCCGCTGCCGAGGGGCCTGACCTTGGTGAGGTCGCGCATGTGGGTGACCTTCTCGCGGTACGCCTGCCTCTCGGGTGCGGAGTTGAGCAGTCTGGCCGTCTTGGCGCGGTGCACGGCAGTGCGGATCGAGGTGCGGTGGTTCCGCCGCACCGCCCTGGCGTTTTCCAGATCGTCCAGGGTACCCACCAGCATCTCGAAGCTGTCGCGAAGAAGCGAGAGGGTCCGGGCCGATGACGACACCACCCTGACGTCCGTGCGGCACGGGTAGCCGCCGAGGAGCGCCTGCTCCTCCACGACGTGAGAAGTCTGCGGTGGAGGCGCGCACCCAGCGCCGGCACAGCACCAGCTCGCAGAGACTGGAAGCCACACTCGCCGCCTGGGATGAGCTCGCAGGCGGCACGTCTCCTTGCCATCAATGATCACCGCCACCTGCCCCTCGTAGACGATGTGCAAACTGGTAGACGGAAGGCCTTGCTGAACGATCAACTCGCCCTTCTGGAACGTGTTGACGTTCAAAGCCTTCGCGAGCTCTTTGAGCTCCTCTTCCTGCAGAGTGCTGAGGGACCCAACTTGCCTGAGGTACGCCACATGACTCTGGAGCTTTTCCTCATGGACTCCCATAAGTATGTCCCTGAAGTGCTTCCGGTTTATTCCCCACAGTACAGAAGCCTCTATAGCGCGTGCTGTGGCAAACCGTGGGGTGCTGTAGAGCAGCGCGAGCTCCCCGAAGCTCCCGCCAGCGGCGATGACCTCGTCGTAGCGCGGCATGCGGCCTGAGGCAGACGAGCCCCTAGACTTTGGCGTGAAATCGGTGCGACGCGCATGTGATGTGTGTCCTGGTGGTGGACCGGTGTCCGCGGACTCCGCCGAGGCCACAGAATGCTCGCGTACGAGGTCGGAGGAGGCCTTCGAGTGCTCGCGGTGGGGGTCTTGGTTGGGGGCCTCCGAGCGCTCGCGCACGATGGTGTGGGCACCGAAGTCGTCCTTCCTCGTGCTCTCCATCCGGAAGGCGCCCGCCTGCACAACGTACATGCAGTCGGCGAGGTCACCCTCCACCATCACGTCGACGCCCTGCTCGACCACCTCCTTCCAGGCTACGTCCACCATCTTCTGCACACGCTCCTTATGAAGGGGAACTGGGACACACAAATAAATACACACAAATAAAAATAGTTCCCCACATTTTCCCATATTTTCTGGTTTTTTTTGTCTTCCCCCCCACTTCCCATATTTTCCTATATTTTCTGGGAATCGCCGATGAATTGTGTCTGTGCTTTTTCCCCCCCTGACCTTGTCCAGGGTCACCAGCATCTGCAGGTTCTCGTTCGCCAGCAGCGCCTCGGCGATGAGGTGCCGCTCTCTCGGGGTCTTCGGCGTGGGCTCCCTGTTGGAGGGCAAGACAACGTCGATCTTGGTAATTAATCCCTCCTCCTGCCTTCTCCCTCCTCCTCCCTCCTCCTCCTCCTCCCTCCTCCTCCCTCCTCCTCCCTCCTCCTCCCTCCTCCTCCCTCCTCCCTCCTCCTCCTCCTCCTCCTCCTCCTCTCCTCCTCCTCCTCCTCCTCCTGGAGTGGGTTCCCTGTTGGAGGGCAAGAAATCATCCATCTTGGTCGCAGGTGATGCGTGGATCATCCTCACGAATCGGCGACGGCCGGCATGGACCATGACCGCGATCGGCATCGACGAGAACTCTCGGTCATGACCGTTGAATTTCTGCCTTCCACCTGTCACGTGTGGTCGCTGCCGCAGCCCTGATCGCCTTGCGGCCCTTGAACTGCAACTTGCGGTTCAGCCCCAGCTTCCAAAACCTTTCCCGGGTGATCTTGACGGCAGAGACGTCAGTGACGGCCTGCAGCGTCGCCTGCCGCGGCTCATCGTGCAGGAGGGACTGCTCCCCGAAGTCCGCCCCGTCGCGCCAAGTCGCAACCTTCTTGCCGTCCACTGTTACGCTCACCTTCTCGGGGCGACGTCAAGTTGGGGAAGGGGGCAGGGGTGAGGTTAGAGGAGTATCGCTCCATTGGAAGAAGGAGATGTGAGCATCCATCTAGGTTCGCACCCTAAGCACAGATTGGGATAATCCCCCCTTTTCGGACCCCAGACAGACCTTCCCCTCCAAGATCGCGAGAAAGAAATTGCCGGCGTCTCCCTGCCTCAGAAGAGTGCCAAGCGGCAAGAGCACGATTGTTTTAGGGCCCGCGCGGATGTCTTGGACCAGCACTCGACCCTCCCGCCTGCCGCGAAGAGCGCGCCAGGGGCGGCGCCGCAGAGGGGAGAAAGCACAGATCCATGACACCTGCGCGAACCCTCGAGAAGCCAATGCAGTTGTCTCTCCTGCGATGCCTCACGATCACGTCCCCGGCCTTAAACCTCTCGTGCTGGCACGCCTTCGCCAGGTCCACGTGGCTCTTCTGGTTCTGGGGCAGGTGTCTGAAGAGCCTCTGGGGGGAGACGATAGGCTTAGGTCGGGCGTGTCCCCCCTACAATCGGATTTTGGACGAAAGCGAAACAAATACCCACAAAATACGAAAAAATTGTCAAAAACTGTTTAAAAATCATCCCCAGAGCATTATTTGACTATTTCTGAACATCCCTCCTGTGGGGGCACAGGCCCGACTTCACGATATGGGAGGGACGGGCTCGTGGGGCGGGGGGACCCTCGAGCCCGAACCAGCGACGCCTCGCCGACAGACCGGCGACAAGGCCCCCGGCGAAGCCGCGGGCTCCTGGGCGGGGTGGGCTATCGGGCCCCGCATCGGCGATGATCGTGCGGTGGGGGCTCGATGCTGCCCCCCCTTTTGTTAACGGGCGAAGAACGGTATAACATAAACTTTTTCGCTGTCGGGTGCGCCTGTCCCTGGGCGGCTGGAAAGTTTATACCCCTACGGTGCCACCGTAAGGGTATAAACTTTCCAGCCGCCCTGGGACAGGCGCCCGCGACAGCGAAAAAGTTTATTTTGTACCGTTCTTCGCCCGTTAATTTTGGACACCCGAAATACGCGCGGAAAGAATGGGTACATTGCCCAACGACAAATGTTGTCCCAAACATACCGCGGCCGCTGTTGGGCGGGCGGCCTTCTGTCTCGACTGGGCACAGGCCGCGGCGGCGCGGACAACGAGTCCTGTTCAAAATGAACAGGAACTGCTGTTGGACATCGTACCCAATCTTTCCGTGCCCATCTCGTCCGTGCAGACCCCTGAGCCAGTCCCCCCCCAGTCACTTCCCCTTATCAGAAGTCAGCAATCGACGCCTCGAGACCTCTCCTGGGACGCGTCCTGACCAGAATTTCGATGCGAATCCAGCCGCGGCCGCGAGGGCGCCCCAGGACGATCAACAAAGACGTCTACAAAGCGAACGTCGATCCTCCACCCTCGTATCCCAATCCTCTGCCCCCCGTGTCGCAACAGGAATGAACGGCGCAAAACATAAACTTGGATCGGCGCCGAAGCGCCGCCCCAAGAAACCCGCGAGTACCTCTGATGTTTGTGATTCTTCGAGCCGCTGCTCCTGAGCCAGTCCCACAAGTGATCCTCGTCGTCTGGCTTTCGGGTCCCAGCTCGGGTCCTTGGCCGCCGTTCAGGGCGATCCGGGCGCCCCAGGACGCCTCTCGGTGAGGCGCAACTGCGGAAACGCACCCCGAGGCTGGAAAGCCGCGGAGAACCGACGAGCAAGTCCGACAACCTCGAACTTCGAACCGCCATCCTCCTTCCTGAGCCGACCAGAGAAATCCGCACGGACCTCACATTTTTTCAGTTCAGGATCCCAAGGCGTGGCAGACGTGGCACTCCCTCGACACCAGAGGGGGCGCGTGGGGGTGGTTCCCCTATCCGTCTCAGGCCCCTTGGGCGCGGCAGCCGTGGCACTCCCTCGACTCCAGAGGTGGTGCGCAAGGGGGCCTTCAGCGTGGGCGTGGTCGTGGGCGTGGGCGCGGGTGTGGGCGTCGGCTTGGGTGTGGGTGTGGGTGGGCGCGGGTGTGGGCTTGCGTGTGAGCGTTGGCGTGGGCGTGGGCGTGGTCGTGGGCGTGGGCTTGGGCGTGGGCGTGGGTGTGGGCGTGGGCGCGGGTGTGGGAGTGGGCTTGCGTGTGAGCGTTGGCGTCGGCGTGAGCGTGGGCGGGTCGATGCTGGTGTCGGTGATCCGCGTTGCGCCGGCGAGGATGCTGGCGTCGGTGCTCCTGGGTGTGCCGACTAGGATGCCGGCGCCGGGGAGCTACGCTATGCTGGTGAAGATCCCGAGATCGATGATACGCGCTGTGCTGACACGAGGCCATCGCTCGGACGTCCATTCCCCGTGTTTTTTTCGGTTCCGTGCGTGTTTTGTTTTTGGCCAAATGATCAAGGCTGCTCCTCGATGGTCTTCGCCGAAGGAAAAATAGGAGGCCACATGTGAACCCCACCCCTACCCCCCACGATTTCTGAGGCGGAGGGGGGGGTCACTTCGTTCGGGAGCTCCCGAGCGAAGTGAACCCCACCCTCCCCCTCAGAAATCGTGAGGGGCAGGGGTAGGGTTCGCATGTGGCCCCCTAACAAATGCACACGTCCGAGCAATGCCAAGGACACGAGGCCAGCAGCGGCGGCCCGCGCGGTGCGGGCGAGGATGCCGGCAGCCGTGCTGGTCTTGGAGGGCGCCGGCGCGCCACCCTAGCGGGGGAAGCTCACGAGCGAGTGTCCGCGCGGTCGACCCCGCTCCTCTCCCTCGCTCAGACGTCCATTTCCTGTGTTTTTTGTTCGGCTTCGTGTGAGGCTTTTTCGCCAAATGGTCAAGGACGCTCCTCGATGGTCCTCGCCGGAGGAAAAATGCACACGTCCGAGCGATCCCAAGTCCTTTCCCTCGCGCAGATGCTAGGGGGAAAACAAACCCACCTCGCGTTTGACCACCCTCGCTTCCAAGAGATACCAAGCGATGCCACACTGCGGCCTGTACTGGTCAGGCCGCTTGACGAGGAGGCGCGTGGTATGACTTGGTTTTGCAGCTGAGATGCAGCTGCTTCTTCTTTTTCTTCTGCGAGTTGCTGCCCCCCGAGCCTCGTGCGGTTCAGCAGCACAACGACTTCCTCGCAGGCCCCCCAAGAGGGGGTCCGAGCAGAGGGGGGTCGCCTGGACTCTGAGGATCACCGATTCTCGCCCCAGTGTCCACCTGTGCCCGCCCCCAGGGCACCGACCAGAGCCTCCTTTTTCCGGTGCCGGCGTCGCCGAGACACTGCCGACATCGCGGATGCGGCCCAAGCCTCCGACCCCTATAAATTCGGACCCCTCAGAGTCCGAGCAGACAGCAGGGGGCCGGAGGCTCGCGTTAAGTCGGGCCTGTCCCCCTACAGGGGGATGTTCGACGAAAAATAAAAAATACCCCCAAATAGTTTTTAAAATGATCAAACAATAGTCTGGGGACTATTTTGTAAGTATTTGCTCACCTTTTTGGAGCATTTTTGTTTTTTTTTTTCGTCGAAAATCCCCGTGTATGGGGGACACGCCCGACATAAGGCTCGCGCCGCGTCGCCGTCGGCGCTGCCTCGGCGCCGCCAGCGTGGAACACCGCGCGCCCCCGCGGTCGAGCCGCACCGCCGAGGCGGGGCGACCCTGCGGACGCCGCTCGGACCCCGCCCGGGAGGCCCAGAGTTAAGTCGGGCCTGTCCCCCTACAGGGGGATTCGCGACGATTGTTTTTACCAAGCAGCGAAGACTAATAGGTTTCCCCAAGGAGGGGTCCGGGCAGGATCCGGGGAGAATCCGCGGAAGTCGCTTTAAACAAACAGTTACACATTCGTGGTCTTCGAGGTCCCAGAACTCCATTCCCGGGCCACATTCTGAATGCCCGGAGCCAACTGTAGGCCCCTTCGTGCTCTTCGAGCTCCCAGAACTCCATTCCCGGGCATGATTTTGAAAACCCGGAGCCAACTGTAGGCCACTTCGTGGTCTTCGAGGTCCCAGAACTCTACTCCCGGGCCACATTCTGAATGCCCGGAGCCAACTGTAGGCCCCTTCGTGCTCTTCGAGCTCCCAGAACTCCATTCCCGGGCATGATTTTGAAAGCCCGGAGCCAACTGTAGGCCACTTCGTATTCTTCGAAATCCCCAAAACTCCACTCCCGGGCCACATTTTGAATGCTGAGGCAGGCTGATGCTGAGGCTGAGGCAGGCTGAGGCTGAGGCAGGCTGAGGCAGAGGCTGAGGCTGAAGGCATACTGAGGCTGAGGCTGAAGCAGGCTGAGGCTGAGGCTGAGGCAGGCTGAGGCTGAGGCTGAAGCAGGCTCAAGCTGAGGCAGGCTGAGGCTGATGCTGAGGCTGCAGGCAGACTGAGGCTGAGGCCAGCTGAGGCTGAGGCTGAGGCTGCAGGCATACTGAGGCTGAGGCTGAAGCAGGCTGAGGCTGAGGCTGAGGCAGGCTGAGGCTGAGGCTGAGGCAGGCTGAGGCTGAGGCAGGCTGAGGCTGAGGCTGAGGCTGAGGCTGAGGCAGGCTCAGGCTGAGGCAGGCTGAGGCTGAGGCCGAGGCTGCATGCAGACTGAGGCTGAGGCAGGCTGAGGCTGAGGCCGAGGCTGAAGGCAGACTGAGGCTGAGGCTGAAGCAGGCTGAGGCTGAGGCTGAAGCTGAGGCTGAGGCTAAGGCTAAGGCTGAGGCTGAGGCAGGCTGATGCTGAGGCAGGCTGAGGCTGATGCTGAGGCTGCTTTGCAGCGCCTCCCAGCGCGGTCAGCGGCGGCCGCGGCCGCCCGCCCGCCGAGGGGAGGGAGAGAAGCAAGTGGCCGACGGCTATGCCGCAAACAACAGGAGGAGCTGGATCCAGCGGTGGCGACGAGCCAAGCGGGCAAAAGCTCAGAAGCGTCCAGCCGCGTCGACGAGGAGAAAAGAGCAGGCAGGCTGCCCGCTCAAAGCACCAGGCAGGGCAGGTCGTGGGAGCCAACCCCGTCGACCCAGTACATCTTTCTCCAGTCGTTAGCGTAGGCCAGGGGCGCAATCCGACGGCGCACTAGGCGTCTGGTACCTGGTTGCGCCTTTGGGCTGGGAGACTGGCGTCTCCGTCGCCCAGGGCGTCGGCGCACCCTGTTGCAGAAGCTGCTCCGCCCCGTTGTCGAGGAGGAAGGCCACGACGAACACGATCAACGACGGTAGTCTGAGCCTGCTTCGTCGTGGGGTTCACCGAGAAGCCCTCGCACAACTTTCGCAACTTCCGCGCAGCGTGCGGCCGTGCTTGTATGCAAATGCCTGCACACTTGCTGCAGCAGTAGACGCCGTAGGCCAGGAAAGTGCCATGCCCAAGCTCACGAAAAGCCTGCTGCATTGGATCACTGTCAGCGTCGGCAGACGGGCTACCACTATCACGGTCGCCAGAGCGGTGTTCACCACCAGGCTGTGGAACACCAGGCTGGTGAACACCAGGCTCTTGTGCTTCGCGTTGTAGGTCAGCGCAGCGGACGGCCACCTGAACTCGCCCATCGGCTAGCAGAGTCCAGGAGAGGCGAGTCGTCTCGAAGAACACCTTCGCCATTGCTCGTGTGATCCGCGCGGGAGTGCACTTCCTGAGCGAACCTGAGCGTAGAGCCGCCAAGGACGCCGCGGTAGAGGCTGTAGCATTACACCCGCGACATCGGCATTGGCCTCGCTGGGCACAGAACCAGAGGTCATGATCCTCAGGACGACCAAAGACCACAGGGACCATCTGCTGTCTGAGCGGCGTCACTGGGACGTCGTCTCGCCCAAACCGCTGGCAACGGATAACCCTCAGGCAGGCTTGAGAGACAAACTGGAGCACCGTCCTGTGCTGCTTCATGGCTGCCTTGAGCGAGTCCGACAAGGAGCGGGGCATGGCGTGCTGAAGAGCGCCCAACCTCGCAAAGTAGCCCGCCCAAGCATTGCCAATCCAGTCACAGATGTCCAGCGGGGCCGCCTCCAACAGGTCAGCGGCCGAGCGGTGTGCAGGGGTCCATCGGAACGTCGGGGCGTCCACTGAGGAACGCTCCCGAGCTGCAGTGAGGATATCCCGCCATGCGCGCGCATGCTTGGACCTGCTGCAGGCCAATTGCGCTCCCCACTGGTCGGCCTCCTTAACCAAACTCTTGAGGTCCGTGACGAACTCTCGATGTTCGGGGTGAATGTCGAGTCCCATCTTAATGGCAAACCGTTCAGCACGCCCCACCGTCTGAACGATGTACGGGAGAGGGCCGCACGCGGCCCGAATGGGCATCCAACTATAAGGATCCAGCTGGACAACGGCTTGACCACACCGACGAATTTCTGGCATGTTCGAGTCATAGCCAGAGCCATCCGTGTAGGAGGTGGGTCCCCAAGTACCTTGAGTATCGCCCCAGTGAAGAACCTCGTTGCCAACGGTGCCCATGGACGGCAAGTAAGCAGGGGGTTCGGGTGCCCCGTAAACGAGGCACGTCTGCTCGTAGTTGGGAGTTCCACTGCCCAGCCCTGCTGCGCGGATATGTTCACGCGCGTCCAGCAATCGCGGAGGGATGGCAAGAAAAGCATGGCCCTTCGAGCGAATCGTGGCGCCGACACTCGTGGTGCCAGTCGCAGTTGCAGAGTCCAGCCCAAAATCCTGCATGCTCACATCGTCGCCAGGTTCCTGGGGAGGCTCGTCATCCATGGCGTCATCGGGTGCATCACCAACCGCAGGGAAGAACGGCTCCTCCTCCATGGCGTCAGGCTGCGCGCCGCGCCTGAGCTGGTACCGCCACCAGCCGGCAGAGAGTGAACAGCACGATGGGGAGCTTCAGGGACTCCTTCATCACAGACCTGACTGGTGTTGCCTGAATGCGTGGGTACGATTGACGTCCCATCGCCTGCCAATGGCGTCTGTCCGTGTCGCGGCATGGCTGTGTCCACTGATGGCATGGCGGTGTCTGACACCCCATCGCATTCGGCCAAGAGGCCAGGACAGTCGTAGAAGACATGGCCCCAACACGCGTGCCTATCCAACTGAGCGCCACATGCGCGACACGGCCTCATGGGCTGGTTAAGCTTCATGTCGCGACGTATCGGGGTGGGAACGATGTCGGCCCAATGGGCCTGTAGGGCTCCAAGCCGACGAGGGTGGCGAATGCCCTTGATGGCATAGCGCATGCCATTGTGCCACAACTGCGCACCCGTGCTGGTGTACCAGTGTCGCTGAAGCCGCTGATGCTGCCAGCGCTGGATGCCTTCAAGCAGGTAAGGCTTGAGGTCGGCGGGGCACACATGAAGAAGATCGTAGTGGCGTCCCAGATCATCGCGGAGAGTCTGGGAAGAGACCATGTCCCATCCAATGCGCCGTAGAGCAAGAAGAGTAGCGCCGAGGGGGCCCCGCACCTGATCCCATCTGGTGGGACCGAGGTGCTGCAACGCTTGCCAGGCACGACAGAGTCGGCCCAGAGAGATTCGAGCATCCCAAACCCAGCCTGCGTACCGCATCACAAGGTCGACAGTCGCACCGAAGATAGGGTCGCACTGCTCAGCCCAGCGAGTCATCAGGTAGCTGTGCCAGGGGCCCCGTTGAGAATAGCCGCGAACCTACGCATCTCGCGAAGGCAATCATCGGTAACCCCTGAAACTCCAGCCCCGTGGGCCGAGGCAAGCATAGCACCAGTGCGCCACAGAGTAGTAGTGCGCCTACCCACCGCGCGTTGTAGGACACGGAAACGGTGACGTCGTCCACGTAGCTTGGCCATGCGCGCCTTGGCCACAGTACGACGAACCTTGGGCCCATGCAGCTCATGCCCTAAGTTGCGCATATGGCTGGCACGAGGGAAACTCCTGACTGCGTCCGTGGATCGTGCCCACAATACGCCCCCACTCTTGCGCCGCAGGAGGCGGTCCAGCTCGAGTCGGGTCCGAACCGATCCCACGGCCACCGCCGACTTCTTGGTGTTCAGAATGAGGCCACGTTCCAACGCCCAAGCGGCAAACGAGGAGGCAGCGCTGCCCAGGGTGAGCAAGTCCATTGGATCGGAGCTGACCATCCGAAGGCCGACATCGTCCACCAAGGCTCTGGGCCGTATGATTGGACCAATCGCGGCAACCCGCAGACTATCCCAAGTACCCGCGTCGTGGGGCTTTTGAAGCTCCTTCGACCCATGT